TGATTTATATTATGCCGAGGTAAACTATTTACTTATGCGTCATGTTTATTGAATAGTTTAAATAATTATTGACTTATCATTTCCACTAGTTATGTGATAAGCATCCAGATATTCTTACTACAGATGTTTGGGCTACCATCGGATTCACATACGATGCAAGCGCACAAACGTATCGTCTAATAAAAGAACGATACGGAAATGAATTATGTCTGGCGTGTATGGGTCAATTAGAACCCAAGATAAATGCGTTCTGCTATAGGTGTAAAGCACCACGACCTCCTGATTGGACGACTGGCAACAAGTCTTTGGATTCATTTATTGAGGAATCTTGGAAGAATACAGAGAATAGAGACGATGCATATGTACAGTGGATAGAGTATTCCCTATTATCGAACGTACGAGAAATGACGCCATTATACCATAGATGCACACATATAGCTGATTGGTTAAGGCCAATGATAAATGAATCGATACAAGTGACACTCAAACAGATCAGTGATTTCCCGTCCCTTGATTATGATTTTCATCAGGTAAATTATTTTACATGTACATAATGCAAATAGTATTAATGCGTGTATCGCACGTTTAAAAACAGATTATTGTTGTAACGACAGTTATTGTTTACTCAAATAGCTTACTGAAGAATATCCCGAGATACTAACACCCGATAATGTATGGATAGTTGGAATCACTCAAGAACCATCTACTCGGAAATACTATTTAGTTTTCTACTGTGATTTACATGACGTATCGGACAGACTTATACGAAAAAACGAGCATGTTAAGTACATGCAGTACAGCGACTTTGATGAAACTAAACAGATCGGCTCTGGTGGTTACGGAACAGTTTATATTGCCAAATATAGAAAATATTCAGAAGTAACGAATATGCAAGAAACTGTTGTATTAAAACGATTTAATATTGATCAGACGCTGGAATCATTTGTCTCTGAGGTAAGCAATAATTTGGTATTAAGTACAGTGATATTCAATTGATTTGCTCTAATCATTCATATTTAATAGTTCACAAATCATACCAAGTGCATAGACTTTGATGATTTATTCCTTAAAATTTATGGTATCATGCAAGACCCAGAAACCAATGAGTACATAATTGTTATGCAATATGCTAACAATGGTAGTCTCTTGTCTTATTTGGATCAAAATATTAACGAATTGACGTGGTTGGATAAATTACGGCATTTGGGACATATTGCATACTATTTGTACGCCATTCATGCTACAGGAATTATTCATTGTGATTTACATGGCGGAAACATAGTTTTGCATAACAATACGCATGATGATACGATAAAGTCATTAATATGCGATCTTGGTCTCTCGCAATCTGTGAATTCACGTAAGTCAGAGTCAACCGTTCGAGGCGTCTTGCCCTTTATTGCACCGGAAGTCTTTCATACCTGCAAATTTACTCAAAAGTCAGATGTGTACTCTTTTGGTATTATTACGTACTTGGTTGCCACTGGCGAATCGCCATTTAGGGATAGACAGTTCGATAGAGATTTAGTATGCGATATTATGGGCGGACTACGACCGTCGATGCCTGATTCCGCACCAGAGGGATACAAGAAACTTGCCATGCGGTGTTGTGATGCTGATCCTGATAAGCGTCCTGATGCAGAGACACTTTTCAATGATATTGGCAAGATGTTTGACGAGGGGAACGAGTTTGATGACAACACATGGAATGCCATTTATCACAACAACGTAAAACCTTTGTCACGTCTCGAAAAGGAGAGTAAGTATTCTAGTAAACTCTTACCTACGGGAGATTTGCCTAAACCAAGAAACAGTTATGATTTTGATTCAATTGCAGGTATGATGAAGAAACAATTGGTTACGTGCGTGTTGATAAAAGTCAACGCCAAGCAATTGAGTACTGCCACTGGCAGAGATTCTTTTAGAACCTTAAAAATCAAATACGCCGATGCGGGTGCTGCAAAAACAACGACTTAAACGATTGCAAACTGTATAAATGCTACATACTCATCGGGTGGGTTGGTTTTTTTTTCACGCTGGCATAAAATGTACAAGACAAATAATTCCTTATAATATCTATAAAACTTGATATTATTTAGCAATTACCAATAAATGCATCATCCGCTTGCTACATATTTGCAGTCGCCTAAGAAAATAGCACGTAAGAGTGCTTTTATGGATACTATGAAACATATTCGATACAGTTTCAAATTAAACTAATTATAAATCAGCGGTACATATCAAACAAAACAATGACGTTAGGGAGCTGAGAGAGAAAGTTGAGACGCTTAAGTACAAGTCGAGCGTAAATTTGAATAAAAGGATATTTTGTTTAAAACATGAGACAGTGTTGTGATACTAATATTAATTATTCTAGCAAGCTCGTCAATAAATACATGCTGGTCAATATTTTTTCAAGAGGCTTTTGTTTGATAAAGCGGAGGACACGAGCCAAAAATAAACAGAAGTTAATGGGATTTCTTTAAACTGAATAAAACTATATTCCGCCAGTTTTTAGCTGCAACTGGAAAAATAGTAGGAAGGAGTCAGAATAAGTGAATAAACGTTTATGGCTATTGCACTATTCTATCGAGGTTACATGAATAAATTAATTATATGAGAGATTGGTGGTAAATTTGCAAAAAGGTACTGTGCCCCAAAACACTGCTGTATCGGCCCGCTGAGCATTACCAACTTTTCTTCTTACTATTCATATTCAACAATAATGTTGAGCAAAAATTATTAAGCGGTTAACTTTGACGCCACGCGTCAACATGAAAATTATATTAATATTATACCACACCAAATGTATATACGATAACGTTTAAATTATTTCTATCAACTGTCTGGAAATAGTAATAAAATAAAAAGTTGGCATTACATACCTGCTTGTACGCCAGCAAAGTTTTTAACTTATATAACCACTGCTATATCGAACCAATTATTGTATGTCATATCAGAAATATAGCGAGACATGCATACTATTTGGCATCGTTACGCCATTCTTGTCTTATTACTAGAGTCCGACATATTGTGTATACGTTATCTACCTGAGCGTACGAGTTTTTAATTATATACCGTAAACCATAATTATGCGCTATTCCAGTAAGGTTAAATTCTACAATGAGCACGATATGCACGTGAATAAAACTGTAGATCTCCATTATTATTTCAACGTTTTTGCTCGATACTGTAATCAACACAATATACTGTATATAAAAGTTTTGCGTGTCTGCCAGCAACGACACTGATCAATCCTGGAACGAGATATAATTGTGGACAATTATTTTTAATCAAAAAGAAAACCTTTTCCCACAAAATGTACCCTATTAGAAAAATGTGTTGGGTATCCAATTTACTATGTCTAATCTTGTTATGTAATATTTGAATGTAACTTCACGTAACTGCACAAATCGTTTTAAATTTTCCCAAATTTACTTTTTATTCTGCAATATATACGCTTTTGATATTTTAACTATTATATTACAAAGACATTTCCTTCGAGTTCATCAAGCACCATTAAGCTTTCATATTAGCTACTACAACTTCTAGATACTACTCAAGACAATATTCGACTACTTGCGCTGACTAACATTTCTCTTCCATTTATCCTATAAAATTTAAATTTAATTCAATAGTTTTTGTCATAAAGTAAGGCACTAAAGTATATATGCAACTTGATAGATAATTTCACGTTGATTATACAACCCTTCAAAATTGTTGTTGGCGTAAGTTATTTCATTTACGTCATCAGCCATGGATTCATAAAAAGAGCTAGTGTTGACCTAAAACACATCAGCGGGTAATACTGTTGGTAATGGTTCTTGTTGTAGCGATGATTGATAGACAGTCATTGGAAGTGGAGAATAGGTGGAGAAAATGAAAAGCGGGGACATTGGCGTACACGTATATGAAGAAAAAGTTGTCGAAATTGGAGTCGAAGGCAAACATAACGCGGGTGGACATGACGGTACAATCGGAGGTGTTTGAAGGCTATTATTAATCGTTGGAGGAAAAGACAAAACATCCGGATTGAATGACATCGAGTGCGTCTCATTGTTAACATGCTGATTGTGTTGCTTATCAGATGGTGGATTATGTGACGCAGCAAATATCGTTTCCGCTATAGCAACTAGTTCAGGATCGGTCTGTTTGGTGTTGTTGTTGTTGTTGTTGTTGTTGTTGTTGTTGTTGTTGTTGTTGTTGTTGTTATTGTCATTGTCATTTTTACGTAATTTGCGTTTCGCTGACGGCAAAACCGTCAAATTATTTTTTTCGATACGTGTGCTGCCGTCGTTTGTGGTCCTAATTACAGTTGCACGAGCCTGTCTCCTTTTTTTGTTCCTGTTGTTTATCTTACGAATATCAGACTTTTTCCTCGGTTTAAACACGTAGCCTGGATGTTCTTGCATGTGTCGAAGCTTTTCTTGTTCAGCCATTTTTGCCCATTCAAGCCTGACTGCTTCTGATTCCTTCCACCACAGCATTGCTACTACTTTCGAGATTTGTATGTTTGTTAGGTGTCTGTAGTTAGCCTTTATCTCTTTATGTTTAAGCTTTCTGTAGAGAATAAACGCGTTGGGTGGACGTGGTATATGAAATGTTCTGGTTTTTGAAAGTTGGCGTCTAGAACGTTTTCTCTCGGAACTTGCATCGGTTGGATCAGTACCGACTAAGTTATCGGAGAGTGTGTCGTGAGCTGTAAGTAGTGGAGTATCGAACATTATCAGACCGCAATAACGGTCCATGTTGAAGCGGATAAGATGGATTTGGGAAACAAAACGAAGATCTACGTATAAATAGATCGTACATAGGCAGACTCGATAAGTCCTAACTCGGTCAAAAATATTAAGCCCTTTTTTTCAATATTTAAAATCTCTCGATAAGTCGGTCAACATATGAAAAGTCGCGATAAGCTGTCAACCCTTCCTTTACTGCTTTATGTAAATTACCCTCGATAAGTCGGTCTCACGTGATACTGGAGGAATATCACAGTACAGTCGATCATATAATAATTTACTTTGATTTTATTCGAGCCTTGTGTAATACAAGTCACCCGATTGTTCCGTACAACGAATACTAGTGGTAGAGGCGGACGTAAAGTAGGAAAAAAGTTAAAAACACTCACTAATCATTAAAAAAAAAGAGCTCTGTGAGTACCAACAATTTATTTGTTTCAGGCTTAAGACACTTAAAGCGGGGGAATTGGGAAAAATTGAATGAATTATTCAACAATGGATACTTATTTATAATAATGATTTTCCATTCGCTTGCTATTACTAAATTAGTCACGTGAATTCGATAAATCGGTCCACCGAGCCAGCCATTTGAGACCGACTATCGAGTCTGCCTATGTATTTATTATTATATAATTTAATTACAATGCATACGTATTGCGCACAATATTAAATATAGTAATATGTACCGCTTTAACGTTTTCTTACTATACAGATATACTGCGACAACTTCGAAATAATGGTAGTAAATCTTGTCGATGAAATAATTATTATGTGAAATAAATGGCTTCCCTATTTTAATACTTAGTTTGATACGACGTATAGTTTGAACCTAATTCATAAGCTCTCTTCAAGTCTCCTAAATTGTAATAATTCGGCACGATGAATGGCTGCTCTGATAAACAAAGAGAATAGCAAACCGACTAAACAACTTAAATCAACGATTGTACATATAAACAAAAGCGTAACGATCATGAACGAGTAGTAACGTGGATTGATAAATTTTACAACTGCAATGTGTAACTAGTCTGTCCCTTAAACCCAAGAGACAACAATGATACATTATGAAATTAATTATTAGTTAATCTTTCCGATTACCGACGTAACTGTTTGTTCTTAGGCAAATTGTTGTTCGTATCTGTACCTGTTTATAAGAGGCCTGCGAATATCCGGTATGCATGTGTCCCAAACTTACATTTATCGGATTAATTCTAACTTCCTCGTTCACGTTTTATTGATACAAGCGTCAATGCCATAACATAGCATTTACGTATAAGACAGTGGTGAATGGCAAATTAATAATGTAATTGAGAAGTAATTTATGTCAATTTGGAATTACGTCAGTTTAGAATTGACATTTGAAATTATGTCAGTTTAAAATTTATGTCAATTCTAACTAACATATGTCAGTTTGGAATTATGGCAATTTAGAATTGACATGTGTCAAATTGGAATGGATAATCTGTGAAGAAACGTATTTATTATTCATTATCAAGACTATAGTAATGCATGTATATACAGTATGTTAACCGTAATGTATCATATACTCAATTTATGCTTCTCGTATGTATATCTGTTTAGCAAAAGATGTGGGCTTATTATGATCTGAACTTTTCGCTCGCTAATTTATTAGAATCGGTCTTCCCTCTCCCGCAACTTCTTGTGTATGTTGTCAATTTAGAATTGACATACAACACAAGTTACCCAATAAAATACACAATAAACATGCCCATTGCTCTCGTCTAGCCATAGGTTTTCTAATAAACAACAATTACCATTAAGTTTTGCCGACTCAGAATTAGAAGCATTATTATTCCCGGATCTGTCTCTCGATGGACACGGACACTATAATGACTGTTACAATAATACTTTAAAGTAAATCATACTATTATTTTATTGTTGTTAAACGGATGTTAAATTCAGCGATGCATGATGGCATACACAACGGTAGTTAATTGGTTATGATTAACATTTCAAAAGTAATCATACGATCTAAACATACAACAGTCATTGTTGTTAAACTGTAATTATGCCTCAAAATGGAATCAATTGAACAGTTTCATAATTACAAAGAGTCATACAATTAAAAATATATTCAGGTATATTGTAATCGTAAAAAGTTCGTATTAGCGTGTAAAGATATAGACTTTTTACTGGACATCTCATCATCAATTCATCAACCGTGATGTAAACATATATATCTACAATTAATTCTCTTATTATATCAGCTTGTGAACAATAAAATACTTTCAACAGGGTTGATTGCTTGTAAATGGGCGGTGATGGTGAATTTACCACTTTTGACACACCTTATGGCTACACCTGAATGATGCGGACACCCAAGACATTAACGTACATTCAGAAATTTACTCAAAATTCGGTCTACTTTATTACAAGACGGTTTACCATGCCAGATAATGTTTGACAAAAACTTGCCACAGAAAATTATTCATAGAAAAAAAAACAAACTCTCGGCTTGTAAATTAATCTTTTTCCTGTCCTGTTAAGACGGGTTAAGGAAGTGTACACCGCCACAAAATTTGAAATGTTTGATGTTAAAAGCCAAGCCGTATTTAACGGCAGACATGAATGGGGCCCGTCGACTTAGTATTAACACATTGTTTGAACGGTCGTCTCAAGCTCTAGTTTGATTACAATTATAATTAGCATGACATTAATAATCTTTATCATTTATGCGCAAATACTATACCCTAATTTGCATAAAAAAAAATAAATAGCTCGCAATTATAAGAAGCATAAAATTTTTTTTATTGAACATAACAATTTCAGTATTTTATAAGTTTCCCATAAAAATAGTCGTGAAATGCGTTCTAACTTAAATTATCCGATGGTAAAATCTAAAGGGCCGACCGATAAAATCGGGCAATACTGTACTCTAATTTTAGAAATAAAAACATTGTGCATTAGTGTCTGCTAAAGGTGCGTACGCAAAAGAGAGAAAAAAAGAGTCGAACGAAACAAAGCAACACCCACCAACAAAAAGCATTAGATTTTATAAGCTCGGTAACGAGTGCTTCGTTGATTACTTTGACGGTTATGGTGGCGGGACGCTTGTAGCGCAATACAGTCTGCTCCAGTCGTCTATTTCGATGGTAATTTCATCATAGTTCGCAGGCGCCGGTTTAAATGTGTACGAGATGTCAAACTTAGTGTCTTCTTTGACGGGACATTTTTTATAGAGTTTACAAAAGTTGGCTCCGTATGTCTGATTCGAAATAAAAACGTTAACAGTAGCAGTGTCGGTAAAGTCGGAAGTTGCGGTTCCGGAAATGTTAAAAGTAACATGTTGGCCTGAAACAATGGGATTGGGTGACATGGATACGTGTCCAGTTGGTATGGGATAATTACCACATCGATAAAATTTGAGTCGTTTACTTGATCTAGCAATAGTTACTGAAGTTGTAATCAACACAAAGAATAGAAAGAAAATTGGATGTTTCATAATTTTTGTAATTGCTAATCAGTCAACTAATAAACTTTTTTAGTTGATACAGTCCAACATGCTCAGTGCCATCATTTTTATAAGAAGCTTTCAGTTTCTTAAACAATATTTTGTAATATCCCAAATTTATGTATGATAATATTACTTGTGGTACATCGTCAAAATATGTGTAACACATGGCATGGTAAACATCCGTCGCGGCGGCCATTGCCCAAAATGAATTAGTGTGTCCCCACATGTGGGTGACATGCATGGATTAATGTAATGTATAAAGTGCTTAATCCATTATAAATTACAATTGGATGTTAACAAGGTCAACGGAGTGTTACATAATGTATTTATTAGTAAACTTTAAGCTTAAAATGAACCCTTTATGTCTTCAATACTGTATTGATTGTACGAGACGGATCAATTGATGAGGGTTCGTTACATGTAGCCATAATCACAAACATCTGTATTGTTGAAGATAACAAGTATTCCAAAATGTCTAATCTCTTAGAATTAATTCCATTATTCGAATATCCCGAATGTACTTCTATGGATCACTTTATGTACATGTAAACTGAATGCGAGCGAGCAAATTAGCATATATTAATATGGCAAAATACTGTCGCTATATTTGTGATACATCGTGTAATGTTGTTTGGTCAATTGCACCCGTATTGTTATTAACCATGTATGGTTTTGTAATCTAAACCTTGTGTAAACGACCTTTGAGATCGGCCCGTTTCGATCAACATTTCAAGCAAACAATGTCTAGTTCCTAAATTAATTTCGCGCTGAACTTTTAAATACATCTTTCCGTGTCGTATCGGAGAATCTTATATACACTTGGACTTTTCACGCATCAACCAAATTGGCTTTTATAGTGTGCCATTATTATAATATTGCTTCTCATTGTGTTACGTCTTTGTGTGTTGAATATAATTTTATAATTATGACTGTTTGAACAATTTTTAATTACAGTAGCGGTCATAAGTATCCGAACGGGTTACATTACTTAAACGTACATAATAATAACTCGTTAATTTTTCCAGGAAAAAGGGTTATGACAATGCCTGATTAAGCGTAAAATTTCAGCTCGAGCGAATGTTTCTAGCAAAATTTCCAAACATCGGAATATTTTGTATCGGACTATACTACACCCCTCTATGCGATGCCAACCATAAAACTTCAAAAATTCATATCTCGACGCTTTTTTAACAAAATTTTGTATTCTTTTTTCTCTTTTTTATTCTTTGAACCAGCCGTAATTATGCTTATGATCTAATGGGCAAATTGTAGCGTGATCGCTACAACGAAATGCAAATAAGCGTGCAACATGACGACTCTAAGAGTTATAATGCGTAGTTGTTTCCTTTTATAGTAACAATTGTTTCATAATTCGACTCGATGTTCCAAAAACCATGTTCAGATAAGCAAAAAAAGAATTATGAAAATCGATTAGAAACATGTAGAGATATGAATTTTTAAAGTTTAAGTTCTAATTTTGTATGTTTCCATACGTTTCCACACGTTTTCGAAACAAAATATCCAATGTTTGGAAAATTTGCTAGAGACATCCGCTTGAGCTGAAATTTTACGTTTGATCAGGCATTGTCATAAACTTTTTCCTGGAAATTTACCCGAGTTATTATTATGTACGTTTAGGTAATGCAACCGTTCGGATACTTATCGGGGACACGAAATAGTACCTTTATAACAAGGTTTTAAATAATTCGCATAGCTAATTTAATAGTTTATTGCCTTTCATACATTTTACACGTATTTCTTACTTCGAGTTTTCGATTTACAAATAATATCATTTAAAAACCCCTTACTAATTATGTGTATTATTATCTGAATTTTTATTAGTTACCAGAATTCTAATTGTAATATCTTGGTTCGTCGAATACGTGGTACGCGTGCCCACGAACACCCTTTCCTTTAAACTGAGGCGGAAATCTCAAACCCGGCGAGACTTTATCCTCGCTCACTCGTTTGTAGCTCGCAGTCCATGTGGAACTATCATACTCATCCAACACCTGGAACTTACCGATCTGAATTTCAGTATCGGTAACGTCACCGTGACTCACTCGCGCATAGCCAGTCCTCTTGAGTCCACGATAAGCAACGTACTCGCACCATCTATCGTCATCTGTGGGGTCAATATCGTTTACGTTCCCACCTTTCATCAAGATGTGATAATTCCCTTTCAGCGGCTCAGTGACAACGTATCCCAAGAACACGAACGGGTTTGCACTCTCTCTCATGATTCTGGCAAGTTCTTTGGTCTGCAACTCGCGATCGTAAGGATCTTCTTCTTGGCCATTGTGGCTAACAATCACGTCTACCTCCTTACCGTATACGTCAAGAGTGGCGTGAATCGCGCATGCAAGTTCGCCTACGGGTGAAGGAAGTAGGTGATGGGTGGAGCGTAAGATGGGAAACTTGGAAAGCATGGTGCAGCCCCAAGTGTGTTTGGATGGACCAGGACCGTAATCTGCATACATGTCGAGTTCTTCACTGAGGAATTGAGAAAGATCACGGTTTCCCATTATTGTCCGACCAAGATCAGATTCGAGCAGGCCTACATGACAGAAAATAACGACGTAAGTTACGTGTGTGTGTGTGTGAGAGAGAAAGTAGCCACGCTCGTTGTTGGCAAAATTCACCAGTAACGGAAATAAGGTTGCTTACCAATAACGTCCAATTCCAATTCTTTTATAGCATCCCTAATCCTTACTTCACTCGCCCACATGTCGTTATCCAAAGCAAAATGTATCGTCCATATTCCGGCGGTCAATAGCTTGTCCTCGGGATGATATGGCACCGGCGGTGCGCGAGGCAAGCGCCCAAGCATTATCAACGTCGATAATACGACCAACACGCCCAAACAAAGCTTTGTGTAATATCGCGAATATCTCGTCACGTTGACGTGAGCATGCTTGAACGAATAGCTTCTTCCGGCAGCATGTACACCCATCCCAATCAGCCCCATCATGATTATCAGCACGTAATCTGTATGTTCTCTCAGATATTCACCCGCAGGCACAAACGCATAAGCGACAGTCCAAATGTTTGCGAGACAGAGAATAATATATATAATCATTGCCGTGAAAAATGTTTTTCCGGGAGGTGAATAGGCTACCGATCGTATGAACGAAGGGGCGACAGACACGAGATAGATGGCAAGCGCCAATCCACCATAGAATCCTTTCCATCCGGGGAAATAATACATGCATCCGCAAGCAACACAGGCAAAGGCGTACCAAGGCAGTCCCGTGACGAATTTACGACTGGTTGACAAAACGACACCAAGGGACATTGCTACGATGGTCAATGCACCCCACGGTACTGGCATCGGTCCGGTATCAGGATACCCTTTGTAAACCCATCGAGTGATTGTCGTTGTATCGGTAAGCAGACAATGAAAGGCGAAAAGCAAAGATCCAAACCCGGCAGCCGAAGCAAACCATTTATCAGGTCTGATTGTCTTTTCTCCTGGTGACGGTGTCCTGTCGTTTCTCCGTATCACTTCTACAGACGCGAGGATGGCGAGAAATAGTCCCGTTCCGTTGGCGCCACCGTTCCCCGGATGCATGATAGGCCATATGGGGTTGTTTGCCCACCATGCCATTTTGACAACGTTGCTGAGGATCAGGCCAAGTAACCATACCAGTGATTCTCTTTCTAGTCGACCGGGATCGTCCGTGTTTTCTACCCATTTCGATGTCCATACCAGAATGTTGAGTGCCAGGCCGAATGTTACCGTCAACAGACGAGCGACGGGATCTTTTACCAAATAGGCAGCTACCCCCACCAGGGATGCAAGTTGAATGTATCCTTTGTAGGATCGGACGGTGTCGCGGATGGGTTGGATTCCGAGTAGTCCTGCTACGCAGGTTATTAATATAGTTACTTCATATCCAGAGAGTCCCATATGCCAGAGGGGAAAGTACCAGATAGTTACTGCTAACGATGTGAGCATTGACCAGTGAACGAATGCTAAAAAAAAAGGTGGGTAGATGATTGGTGATTGGTAAAACGGGGCACACCATTACGAGTATTCGTTGATTACATTTGATGAGAGAGTGGACATACCAAGATAAACGTCAACGATGAACTCTTTTAGGTTATTCCAATCTCCAACTTTTAACAAGGTTTCATTATTTGTTGTGCCGTCCCTGTTCGAAATATTATCAATCATGTCTTGAATCTTGGTTGATGTTCAGTTACAATATTTCCCATTCTTTTACTCCCAATTTCCTTTTACTTACGTTGCCTTTTCGGCAATGGATGAGGTTGCAACAACTTTTCTGCTAAAGAATACGTGATTTATGAAAACCATTTTATAAGAAATTGATAGTACAAAGAAAATGCTGTTTTGTTTTATTGCAAATGAAATTATACTGATATATTATAACCATACCTAGACTGACGATTGACATCAATTACAGCTAACTCAAGCGTATTGAAATCATATAAACTAATTGCGTCGAACAAGACGTCGTAGATTATCAGCCCCCATTCAAATAATGCATATATTGAGTAAGCTATATAGATAGAATAATAGAAAGATAGAGATAAAGAGTTAAAAAAATTTTGTCACGAAAAGAAACAGAGCAAGTCGGTGAGTGAGTTAGTTAGGGAGCACAAATAAATACGAATACATATTCAAAACGCGAATATTCCAAGTTGCCCGTACGTGCATAATACGCCATTAGATGTGACTTTTCGTATTTCTTGTCAAATAAACGAGTTATCACTTACCCCCAGCAATCCGATTAGCCTTGTGCTGATAAAACTGATAAGCCATCGGAACCAGTGATCCAAAGAATACGCACGCAACCATTTTCCTCCACTTTTTCGTTTTCGGGTTTTGTGACAATGTCAACGCGCCAAACATCCACGGTATGGTAAGCACAAGATATGATACCATGGCAATGTCGTGGGTGTCGTGATCTTCAGATGAGGTTACATATACCCATCCGCCACAGGACAAGGTACGCAGTAGTCCG